GGCAAACATCTGGATGCGATCGGTCGACGCGAGCTTGGCCGCCCCCCTGCAGATGCGGGGCGTGCTCCTCGCAGGCCATCTCGGTCATGCATTGCAGAACTTTTTCCCGCTTCTTCTGATGCGCGCTGCTCCGGTTGGAAGGGTCCGCGGCCGCCGTGGCTCTTGCGGCGGGTCCGAGCAGGTCCGTCGCGATGGTGGGAACGAAACTGAAGTCGCCCATTGCGACTGTCACGCGGCGCTGCGCGTCGCATTCTGCCCACCGAGCGTCGCCCTTGATCGCCGCAGTCGCGGCGTGGACCTGCCCCTGAAAGAGCCGGCGGGCGCGCGCGCTGCAGCGCCTGACCTCCGAAGAAACACTTGAGATTGACGCGCGAATTACCCTCCGGATGGCCAGCGCGCGAGACGCGACATAGCAATGGGACGCATGGGCGACAGGAGCAGCAGCGGCATAGGCGCCCCCGGCCTGCTGCGCACTGCCGCGGGACCAAAAAAAACTAACAGCGCGCCGCCGACAAAAAGGCGAGCTTATACATGAGCGCTTGTTTTGAACTGATCGGGGCTGATGCACTTCCTCAATCGCTAAGACGGCGGCGCGGCTGGCCATTGGTTGAGGATGCGACCGCGTCTCCAGACAATTGAATCCTCCCATCAGAAGAAAAGCCGCGGCGTTTCACGCCCCGAATGGTAGACGACGGCGGAGCAGTCAGCGCACAAGCAAGCGCTCTCGAGACCAGACAGGCGAACGCGTCAAAGAGACCGCTCTGGAGTCACGTCGGGTGGCGCGATGTCCTGGATTGCGCCATTGATCTGCAGCCCGGGCCAGCCCCTGTCACGACGCGCCGCGCGTGCCCAATGCATCTTCGTCGGATGCCTTCCAGGTCGAGGGTCGAGTTCGAGGAGCGGCGCCCGCCTATCGGACGTCCACCCGCTAGACCTGTTCATGGGAACCTCTTGTCCGCAAAGAGTATCTCCGAATGCGCCTACCACTCTCTTCCCCTGTATTCCTGAAGAAGATCTAGTACAGGTCCTTGTCAGAACCGAAATGGAACTGAACCTGAGCATGACCTTCGACAGCAGCAGGAACTGGGAAAGGCGTCCATACGCTGGGGCCCACGAGCGCTCCGAGTGCCTGTTGCGATCTGCGCCGCGCAATCCCCGCGGCGCTTGTAAACATAATAACGAACGACTGAATCATGTGTCTGGAAGATTCATATCACGAGGCCATGGGGCAAAAAAGTCTCGCACATCGTCTCGCTTGACCAGCGCCGCTCCCGACGCTCCCACTGAACGGCTTATCGCCAACACTCTTGGGAGGAACAAGTGCTTGTGTGGGCAGAACGAGCTTCTTGCGAATGACCTCCATCTGCCGTTGCATGTCACAGATGGCCCGCTCATGCTGGTTAGTCTGTTGTTCATGTTCTCGAATGCACACGTCCACCGCGTCAACATGTTGTTGCGTGCGCTTCTCCAGTGAGCCGATGTCGCTGCGGAGCGCCACCCCAGCAGAGGAAGACGCCGGCCCGGGTGCATCATTCAGAACGAGTCGGAGGGCGACCATAGCTTGCTGTACTGGATCGATACCCGTCTTGGCAATCTCGCCTGTTGGCATGGCCATAGCTGGTTGAAGTTCTTGAAGGAGGCCGCCGACACAGCGTCAAACCCACGGGGAGCCCTGCGCCCCGCACTCCAAATAGACGACGCAGGCACCGTGGCAAACCCGCGACAAACCCGCCGCGTCCGAGGCTGCTGCTGCGCCACGACGGGCAGAGCTATTAGGAACACCGCCGCGACGAGAATTGGAGGTTCGACGCCATCTGCAATCTTGACCTTGCGCTTCGTTGCCATGACGCGGACGTTTGTCGCAGCTTTGTTGCAAAATGAAGGAGCAGCCAGATTGCCTGAAAGGCGCCAGCAAGAGCAGTCAGGCTGAACAGCCTTGGCACAGCCGCGGGTCAGCGGTATTCACCTGCTGTCGGGTACAACAATAGTCTTGAACCAAAACTATAACGTAGAAGAAGGAGAAGGAAGAGGACAAGGAAAACCCCGCTGTTCCCCCTCGTCTTGCCTTCCCCGCCTCCTGCGTGTCTCCTCCTGGTGCCCTTCCCCCTTCCCTCCTCCTCCTTCTCCTCCTCCTCCTCCTTTTCTCCTCCTTCGCCTCCCTCCTCTTCCTCCTGCTCCTCATTCTCATCCTTTTTCTCCTCCTCCTCCTCCTCCTCCTCCTCCTCCTCCTCCTCCTCCTCCTCCTCCTCCTCCCTCCTCCTCCCACTCCACCATCTGAAAAAGGGCCGTACACCCAAGCCTGGGGCCAAGATTGGCCCGATCTCCTTTGAGACCGACTGCCCGACCTGTCATGGGACGCGCTCTGACCAAGATTCCGAAAAGGGCAGACTTAGCCGTGGCGCCAGCGAAAAACGCCTGACCCTCTCCCTCCTGTAAGGCGAAGCCAGGACCGGGGCAAGATCGGACCGGGGTACTTCGAGGATCCCTGGGATCCAGCGGGTCTGGAGGATGTCTTGGATGCCGCGGCCGTTCCAGAGCGCTCCAGAACGCGCTGGGAGCGTCAAGGCAGCTCGTTCTGGAACGCACTGGGAGATTAGCGCTCGGTCCTGGCCCCGCTGGAGCCCCCCCGCTCCCCCCACCTCCCTCGTGGGGGGGGACATGACACGCCCACCGACGGCAACAGGGCCCTGAAGAGGCCCTGGAAGACAGAGGTCAACTTCTCTCCACCCTCCTCCTCTCCACTCCTCCCTCCTCCTCCTCATCCCGCCTCCTCTCCATCCTTCCTCTTCATCCCTCCTCCCTCCTCCTCCCTCCTCCCTCCTCTCTCCTCCCTCCTCCTCCTCCTCCTCCTCCTCCTCCTCCTTCTCCTCCTCCTCCTCCTCCTCCTCCTCCTCCTCCTCCCCCTCCCTCCTCGCTCTTGGGTTTACACAAATCCTCCTCCTCCTCGTCCTCCTCCGCCTCCTCCACTTCCTCCTCCTCCGCCTCCTCCTCTTCCTCCTCCTCCCTCCTCCCTCCTCCCTCCTCCCTCCTCCCTCCCTCCTCCCTCCTCCCCTCCTCGTCCTCCTCCTCCTCCTCCTCCTCCTCCTCCTCCTCCTCCTCCTCCTCCTCCTCCTCCTCCTCCTCCTCCTCCTCCTCCTCACTCCTCGCTCTTGGGTCCTCCTCCTCCTCCTCCTCCATTTCCTCCTCCTCCGCCTCCTCATCCTCCTCGCACGTACCCGAACATTGTATACACTTCTCGATTTGCGCATGTCATCCTTGCGCGGGGGCCATGCTAATCTGCTCTGTATCGCTCGAATGTTGACGAATGATCCCCGAAGGGAACCCTCGTCGTCGTCGTCGTCCTCCTCCTCCTCCTCCTCTTCCTCCTCCCTTCCCCGAGTGCCTCTGGGATCCTTCGGCAGGGGAGGCGGCTCCTCTGGAGGCCCCCAGGAGAGCCAACAACACCCCCCCCGACCCTGGAGACCACGGCGGGGAGGGCGACGCCAGACTATGACCATATCCACCGCCGCCGGGTCGCGCTCCGAGGACTCGGGGAGCGGTAGATTGGATATAAGACGACGGCAGAATCGAGACAAAATCGAATCGATATAAATCGGAAATCTCTGGGAATCGGCGAGTTTGGAGGATGTATCGGGCGCCGCAGCCGTTTCAGAACGTTCTGGAACGCACTGAGAGCGTTCATGAACGTTCTGGAAACGATTTGTCTCAATTCTAGGCCCGTCCGAGGATATCTACCCGCCAACGTGGGCGGACAGACATCCCCATCCACCACTCATCGAGATCTCATGGCACGACTCCGAAATGGTGGATGTGAGCATCTGTCGCAGCGCCGTTTGTCCTCGACGCGCCCAAGTAGACGACGTAGACACCACGGCAGATCCACGGCAATCCCTGCGTCACGCGGCATAAGTGAACGCAGCTGGCGCCGCGGCAAAACCCACAGCAAAACCTGCGCCCGAGGCGGCGCTTGCCCTGGTTGCCGAGGCGCCCTGCCCATAAGACGTAAGGGCGCGCGTCGGGACAAACGGCGCGACGACACCTTCTGGCGGGGGAGGACGACGAGGAGCAGGAGGAGGAGGAAGAGGAGAAGGAGCAGGAGATGCAGGAGGAGGAGGCAGAGGAGGAGGAGAACTTGCGAAAACCCAACAGCTATCAACGATGCTGGAATACACCCTCCCTCCAAACTCCCTCTTCATAGGTCTCTACAACGCTTCATTTCCATTGAGGGGCCTGCCTCGTTGGAAAACGACCGTTTGAAGACCCGAAAGCATACCAAAACATTGTTCTCGGGATCCAAACGCCACGAACCAACCTCACTGTTACATCTTGACGATCCTGGGTCGTGCCAGAACGCCATTCTTGGAATTCCAACGCCGCGAATGAACATAACTGCTGCATCCGCAAAATCCTGAATCCTTCCTAAACACCATTTTTGGTACGTTGATCGTGGGATTCCGTGAACTCTTGCAAAATGTATCAACGAATGTGCGCGGCGCAAAGACGAGAGCCACATTTTGAAAAGGAGCCGCCCTCGATCCGTGAAGCTGCTGCAAATGTTTAAAACGAATGCTCGCGGCGCTAAGGCGAAAACTACATTTTTAAAAATATTGGTGATCCTCAATCCGTGAAGCCCTTGCAGTGCTTTAGGACGAGTGTGCGCGGCGCCAAGGCGAGAGCAACATTTTGAAAACCACTCGCACTCCATCTGTGAAGCAGTTGACATTTTTTGAACTTCAGAATCATCATTGATGAGGAAGTCTCGGGCGAAACGCCCGGCCCGCCCTAAAAACTTGCCTCGGGGTGCGACAGGGAGAAATTAGTTTTGAGGAAAGCCATGGAGGAGGAGGGGAGGAGGAGGAGGAGGAGGAGAAGGAGAAGGGAGGATAAGAGGGAGACGCAGAAGGATAATGAAACGGAGGAGGAGAAGGAGGACCAGGAGGAGGAGCAGGAGGAGGAGCAGGAGGAGGAGCAGGAGGAGGAGGAGGAGGAGGAGGAGGGGCCTGGGCGTCTTGCGCTTCCCCGCTCAGCGCCGCCGCGGGCCCGCCGGCGGCGCCGCTGCGGCAGCCCGCGCGCGGCGGCGGCTCCTCGGAGCCCAGACCGAGGACCGCGGATCGATCGGCGCCGTGGCCCTCCTGGAGCCCCCCTTCGGCGGCGAGCCCGGGGGGCAGGGAAAGTTGGCGGCGCGCAGTCTTGCCATCGCTCGGACGTCCATTCCCTGTGCATTTTTCGGTTTCGTGCGTGTTTTTTTTTTTAGATGGTCCAGGATGCTCCTCCAGGGTCCTCGCCGAGAACAAAAATGCACTCGTCCGAGCGATGCCAGGCAAAGGGGTGCAGGGGGAGGGGGGGAAGGCTTCTTCGATACCCTGTTTCTTAGAAGGGCCCGGCCTCACGTCTGTGGAGAAGGCCAGCGCCTTCTGAGAAGCCTTTTAAGAAGGGTGCTTGTAAGAAGCCTTCCCCCCTCCCCCTACCCCCCTTTGCGCGTGGCCGAGAAAGGGGCGGGCCTTCTCAGAAGGCTGGGAGGTCTCACGTAGCCTCGTCTCCATCAGGGAAGCGTCGCGACCGAAGCTGCGGTCCCAACTCCGGGCACGTGTTCGGTCACCGATGTTTTCTGTCACCAACCGTTTCGGCTGATAGGGGAGGGGTGTCAGAAGAAGCCCCCCCCGGCCTTATGAGAAGTTCTCTGAGCCTTCTCCGAAGTTGCAGGAGACTTCTCAGAAGGCGCGAGGGCTTCTGACGAGTCCCGCCGCCTTCTGAGAAGGCCTGCTCCTTCTCACTTCCCCCCCTGCGGCGACCCCTCCTCAGGTACATATGCTCGCGTCGTGGCACATCTGGACGGCAGGCTTTGGGCCGTGTTCGGCCCCAGGGGACCCTTCCACCAGGCCCCAAGTCCGTGACAAAAACAATCCAGGCTGAAAACGGGCCTTCCAGGGGCCCACTGGGAGGGGTCCAAACCCAGACGAGGATGGGGGAGGAAGACGAGAAACGATGAGGGCCTTTTAACCCTCGGGGTGAGGGAACTGCATTGCCGCCACGGCTGCATCCGCCTCGCTCCAGAAAAAAAGTTCCCTGAGAGGGGCCCATGCCCAGACCTGACGAGGAAGATCCGGACCGTCAAGCGTCGCGAAAAATCACGACGGCGTTTCTTCGGGGTTCTGGGCCTCTGGAGCCCCGCTTCGCACCCGGGAACCATCGACAAGACGCCTGCAGCGAAAAGCTTTCCCCGAGGGATGGGGCCGATGGCCAAAAGGCCACGTCGCGAACAGATCACGGCGCCCGGAATCAACATGAACTGGCTTTCGCACGGTGTTGCCTGCTTCGGTCCTGAGGACCTCGTCGGCCGGATCCGCTCTGACATCCTGGTCGGGCCGTGCCCCGGGAGGCCTGGGCGTCAACTGCTGGCGGTCGACATGTGAGCTCCGCAGAGCCATCAGGGCGAGAGAGGGCCACAAGTCTGGCAGGCTTGGGACGCGGCAGCGTTGGGCGGAACTGGGAGGTTCCTGGGACCCGCGGGGGTTCTCCGGCAGCTGTGCCTCTCGAGGGCTTCCTGATGACGCAGGAATCGTCTCCTCCTCCTCCTCCTCCTCCTCCTCCTCCTCCTCTTCCTCCTCCTCCTCCTCCTCCTCCTCCTCCTCCTCACCCCCTCCGCCAGGCGCGGCCTGCGGCCGATGAGCCCAGACCTCCCGCGCCTCAAGAACATCGGATCGGCCGGCTCATCTGGGTCTGGGGCTCTGGGGGTTCGTTTCGGGTGCCAGGATCTGCAAAGAGCAGCGCGCGGCGCAAAGTCCCAGCGAGCCCAGGAGGAGGAGAAAGAGGAGGATGAGGATGAGGATGAGGATGAGGATGAGGATGAGGATGAGGATGAGAATGAGGAGGAGGAGGAGGAGGAGGAGGAGGAGGAGGAGGAGGAAAGGACGCCTACGAATATCAGCAAGAGGAACAGCAGAAGTGTTGAATGGAGGGAGGGAGTGAATGAATAGCATGAGGTGCAGGAGGAGGGAGGCCCAGAGCAAACCAGGAATGTATCAGCGATGCTGCAACACACCCTCCTGGCCCAAGTTCCCGTGCCATCGCCGAGTCCCTGCCAAAAGCAGCCTTGCTCACAGCGCGAACGCCTCCCTCCCTGGAAGGCGAGCGCCCCGTGGGCGGGCAACTCGGGCGCGAGCTCCGTGCTGGAATCGCTGCGACAAGGGGGGGTCTTCAGATTTTAGGACGTGCGCAGAGGCAGCCCCACTTTGAAAAAAAAAGCACGCCGCCCTCCGTCCGCGCCGCAGCCGCTGCACAAGCTTGAACCGATTGCCACACAAAAAACAAAAAAACAAGAACCTGGCCAGGTCGCGAGCGACAGCCCCGTCTGGGAAACGAGCCGGGGGGGGGAGAAGATGGAGGAGGAGGAGGAGGAGGAGGAGGAGGAGGAGGAGAAGGAGGGGGAGGAGGAGGAGGGGGAGGAGGAGGAGGAGGCGGAGGAGGCGGAGGAGGAGGAGGAGGCGGAGGAGGCGGAGGAGGAGGAGGAAGAGGGAGCTTCCGGGGAGAACCCCCTTTCGGACAGAGGCCCGGCCTCTGCCCGTGCAGCCCTTCGGGGCTTCTGCGACGAGTGCGCGCGGCGCCATGGCGAACGCATCACTTCGGCAACAGGCGGGCTCCACACGCAGGTAAGCTTGGGAACCTGATGCGCCGAACATGCGCGCCACGAGCTGCCAACAGCAAACGCCACGTTTTGAGAAACAAATGCCGCCATCCATCCGTGTGAAAAAAAACTGAGCTCCGGGACAGGGAAGCGCAAGGACATGGCAAACTTAACGCCCAGCCTGGCCTACGGACGCGTCTGGTGTTGCGACGCGGAAGATCAATCAATTATGAATATGAAGAGGGATGGAGGAAGATGAGGCGCAACAAGACCACAATCGTCACCGCTCTCCTCCTCCGTGTCTGGCCTCGGTGGGGGGCCATGTGGCATCGACGGGTGGTGTCAGCGGAGGGTGTTGGGCCAGGGACCCAAGGGATCTAAACCTGCGACGTTGATGTCCGCCCCCATTTCGGAAGCTGCTGCCGCCCATTCTGTAGCTGCCCCTCCCTGAAGCTTTTCCCCGTCACCCTGGAAGCACTTCGAACCTCCTGAACCTTTTGGGGCCCCTGGCCGGACCCTGAAATCCATCATGTTTTTGCCGCACCCAACCCATATACAGCAACTGAGAAGAATCGCTGGCCGAAATTATCACGGCGATGACATGGCAAAACGCTGTCGAATGTCGCGGAATATACATGGGAGGCGCACGCTTTGCAGAACTTGCAAAACACTGATCAGAGGACGAGGCGGCCCGCGGGAAAGAAAGTCTAGCCCCAAGTCCCGAATCACCCAGAAATTGTCGACACTTCTGGCCCTCGCGATCATCAGGTAGAGACGCAGCCACAGGGCATCTAGGTCGGCCGCGTCCTTGCGCCTGGCGTCGACAGCAGCTCTCGAAAGCGGGTACACAATATGCTGGGCCCCCCCAGCAGACCTCGAAAGTGGCAACTTTTTCACACCTCGCAGCCCCCCCAAGGATGACGAGGTCAAATCTGAATCCGCGCGGGTACCCACTATGCTGGCCCCCAAACCAGCTCTCGAAAGTGGCGAGACTTTCACACGTGGCCGCCCCCCTGGAATGCCGAGGTCTAACGTGAATCCACGCGGGTACCCTGATGACGAAGTCTAGTCTGAATCAGCCGCGGATGCGCACTATGCTGCCACTCAGGCAGCCTTCGAACGTGGAAAAACGGTTTCACACGTCGCAGCCCCCCAGGGATGGCGAGGTCTAATCGGAATCCGCGCGGGTACCCACGATGCTGCCCCCCCAGCAGCCCTCGAAAATGGTGACAACTGCACACTTCGCAGCCCTCAAAAGATGGCGAGGTCTAGTCTGAATCCGCACGAGAACCCACTATGCTGGGCCCCCCCGGCCGCCCTCGAAAGTGGAGACTGTTTCACACCTCGCAGCCCCCCAGGGATGACGAGGTCTAATCTGAATGCGCGCGGGTACCCACTCTGCTGCCCCACCAGCAGCTCTCGATAGTGGCGACAGATTCCCATGTTGCAGCCCCCCAGGGATGACGAGGTCTAGTCTGAATCCACCGTGGGAACCTAATGTGCTGGGCCCCCCCCGGCAGTCCTCGAATGTGAAAAACGATTTCACACTCCGCAGCCCCTCAAGGGGATGGCGAGGTCTGATCTGAATCCGCGCGGGTAGTACCCAGTATGCTGCCCCCCCAGCAGCCCTCGAATTTGGCGACACTTTCATACTTCGCAGCCTCCTCTAGTCTGAATCCGCGCGAGTACCCACTATGCTGTCCCCCCTAGCAGCCCTCGAAAGTGGCGACAATTTCACACTTCGCATCTTCCCAGCGAACCCCCAGAAGGGACGGCGAGGCGGGAGGCAGGAAGAAAGAGAGAAGGGAAGCGTGAGAAGGTGGAGACCGCAGTGCTCTTTTCAAACCGAGAACCCATTGGGAATTCAAGTATAGCAAGAAATCGCAACAAGAGCCCTAGACCCCATCTTTCTGCGCCATCTTTCGAGCCAGATCGACCTGCGCAAGGCCAGGGCCCGGAACCGGGAAAAGACGCCCGGCGCGAAACAATCGCAACGCCCAAATCTCGGGTGACGCCCCTCTGATGAAACGGCCCCCCTGACTCCGGATCCGCCGAACTTCGTGGGCGACTTCACTGGGGCAGAAATTTCCGCCCTACTGTTCAAGCTCCTTTGATATCGATCTCCGCCCTTCTTTGCCGTCGCTGATTCCACCATACCTGTGCGGAAACACCTGCCCTATACTATACTGCTCTAAGGCGGAAGCGTCCACCATACTGTTCCGCATCGTTTGGGGTGCAACTCTGACACAGTCCTTAGGCTGGAGAGTCCACCGAAGCTGTAGCCGATCTGGAGTCAGGACAGGACCCCGCTGGGAGCGCCCGGGGCAGCTCCTGAGGCAGAGCCCCCGTGCAGGCGGCCGCGGAGCGCGGCGTGTT